ACTGATGTAATGGATTAGAAAACAAGCCGAAGCTTATGTAAATTCGTCTCCATGTAAATTATACATTTCAATACAATTACTAAAATATACAAAATGTACAAGTATATCATTCATATTTACATTGATAAATAAACAAGTCATCATCATCATCATCATCATCATCATTTAACATTAATAACCATTAATCACTATCATCTGCCAATCATAATCATCATTCATCTTCATTCATCATCATTCATCATCATTTAACACTTATAATCATCATTAATCACTATCGTCTGCCAATTCTTATTTATTCAAAGCGTTAAATTAGTTTAAAATACTTGTGAACTTGATTAAAAATGACCTCCTGGTACGAGTTACTTTCGCTGGGATCACCATAAAGAAACGCTTTTGAGTTTTGGATTTAAGTGGGAGGGTATTTAAAGGACAATATTGGTGCCAGTCATTATCACATATGTGATAGAATTAATTAAACACGTCCCAAATATAATTTTAACTCAGAGATCATTGCTACGATAGCTGGGTTAGTCCGACCCCATTCATATCTCGTGCCCACTCGGCCAAACCTCAGCAGATTCCAGTACCCTACATCTAGCCTCGGCTGTATGATGAAGTCCGCCATTGGAACTACTTTCAAGTTCCTGATTACCAACGCCGTTGCCCATGACGACGCATTTAAAGAATGTTTTACCATACAAAGATTTCAAAGTCTGAAGCTGTTTTTCTTTCAAGTTTATCCTATTTCCTTTAGACGCGGACCAGTTTGAACTGAAAAGTCTACATACGCTTCGAACGACGCAGTTTTGAGAACTTCTTTCTAAAAGCGGCAAGTTTTCCTAATAATACCCCCGTCAGACCGGGGTAGCGTCCTTACTTCGCTGCTACGGCGATGGAAAATAGTTTTAGAGCGGGTTTGTTCCTAAAAAAAATAAGTCAACGAAAGTGTTCTTTGGAAGCGATCGGTTGCCTGGGTGATGGGGTCTATGGATGTTATTGTGGGGGTTGGGATGAATTTAAGGCCTTTATCAAGAATGTTCATTTCTAGGGGGTTGAGAAGTCTGTCGCTCAAATTGACAACTGTCTGTCCTAAAGACGGCTTCTCATTCCTTTTCCCTAATCCTAGTTTAAATTCCTCATCCAGCAGTTGATGATCTCTCTGGCCGTGTCTGGGCTCCAGTGGATTGCGTCGTTACCTTTCAGTTCTATTTTGCCCTTGAAGGTTGGTAATGTGGTGGCGTTTGGTGAAGGTGCAGTGGAGATCAGTTGGTTGTAGCTGGTGATGTTTTGGTAGGCGATCGGATTTTCTTGTCGGAGTCGAGAAGAAGTGGGGATCTGTGTGGCGAAGAGCTTGGTTGTTGGGAAAGTTGCTCTGGTCACCTTGAGTCACCTTGAGTAGATCTAGCATCTGCTCGTGTATCCTTGGTCCACTTTCCTCCCTGTTGTTGAGCCCGACGTGTATCACTAATTCTTCTGGTGCAGGACCCATGTAGTTCTGGAGTATTTGTTTGATGTGGCTGATCTTGGCTCCAGAATAGCTCGTGATTGTTGGCGAGATTGTAGGTTAGGGTTAGGGTAAGCATTAGGGCTAGCTCAAGGGTTAGGGTTAGGATTAGCTCTGTTTACATCTCGTGAACTTTGACCAAACGTGAAGTTGGCCTTATCAAATAGACCTAACCAAGAACTAGAGTAAGGGTGAAGGTCAAGTTTTTCTCTTTGTTCGCCGAATTTTGTAGCCTGTATATGTTACCATCCAGGCCGGACGAAGAAATCCTCAAACTACTCGACATTTGTCTGAGGAGGAATGACTTCGCTTTTAACGACCAAGTATACCTTCAGTCTTCCGGAACTGCGATGGGAAAACGATTTGCCCCGAGTTATGCCAATCTCTTCATGGCGGAGTGGGAAAGGGAAGTTCTGCCACTCTGTCCATTAAAACCAGATTTCTATGGGCGGTTTTTAGATGACGTTTTCATAGTCTGGACGTACACACTAGACGAATTTTGGACGTTTTTCAACATTCTGAACAATCATCATCCATCTGTCAAATTAACCGCAAATGTAAGCCATAACAGCATAGATTTCCTTGATACTACCGTGTTTAAAAGTAGCAACACCAAAATCACAGGCCAATTGGAAACTAAAGTATTTTTCAAAGAAACCGACACACATCAATTATTGTTCAAAAGCTCCTTTCACCCAAAACATACATTCTCTGGCATCATAAAATCTCAGATTCTCCGTTTTCATAGGATATGTACTCAGAAGACCGACTTTGAGTCAGCATGTACATTGGTATTTAGCAAACTAAGGGAAAGGGGATACTCCAAACGCTATCTACGACGTATAAAAAACAACACTTTCGCTGAGCTTGTCGCCAAAGAAACAAATAATATACAATCAGCAGTCAAAACCAAACTTTGTGGCCATCCAAGATGTCAAACATGCAAAATCTTAAACATATCCGACCATTTCCATAATAAAACATCTGGCACAAAATTCCCAATATTAGACCAACTTTCATGCAGTAGTTCAAACATAATTTATCTAATTTCATGCAGAAAATGTGACAAGCAATACGTAGGGGAGACTCAAAATGCACTTATGGAAAGAATTAACGGTCACCGGTCAGACATAGTCACCAAAAAAGACAAACCTGTCTCAATTCATTTCAACCAACCGAATCATGACATTTCTGATCTCATTGTCACGCCAATAGAAAAGACCAAGAGCGACTTTGAAACTTCAGAAGAAATTAAAACGTTTAGGCTAACTAGAGAAAAATTCTGGATTGACAAATTGAAAACAACAGCCCCCCTAGGTTTGAATATTCATGCGGCTAGCGCAATAGCTCCTTTTGTAGTTCCATTTAGCGCAACAGCAGCAAGTGCATCCAAAATCATCAGAAAACACTATACTGATCTCCAAGAAAATCACCCGAAAATATTCACACAGAAACTTTTAATTGCATATTCTAAAAATAAAAATCTGAACGACATCCTAGTGCACAGTAAATTAGATTAAATAAGACCAGTCTCCACCCTGACCCAAAACAAACCATATATCAAATCCTATCCCTAACCGTTAGTAAATAAAATCAATTAGATATAAGAATCCCTAGCCCTAACCCGGTGACGTGGAACAAACACGATTTTTTAGAAAATCCAATCTGTAGTAAGAAACACACTAATGTGGCTCTCTCCCGAGAGCCTCAAATTTCTTTTCTTTTTTCTTCAGAAACAATAATACCAGAATACCAGAAGCACCACCCAAGGAAGACCATCAGCGCCACCAACACCAATAAACAGTGAAATCGCCTTTGTATATAAATCTAATGTATTGTATGTATTTTTAATAAAACTAGGAAATATCACGAACTAATTTTTCATCATCCTAGGTCAGTGCTTATGTGGAGACTTAACCTCTCCCCCAAATTCTTAAACCTAACCTACAATCTCGCCAACAATCACGAGCCCGAACCGTATTTACATCTCAGCTACCTTGACGAAAATTGAGCTGGCCTTAACAAATAGATTTAGCCCTGGTTCTTTCCAAAAGAAACAATTAAGAACGTGCCGAATTTCCCGTTTAAAGTCGCTGATCGCCTTTTGCATGTTTCGGGCAATATAAAATATTTCTCAGCATAATCCACGGGAAATTGTACCCAAATGGATTATTGAACAAAATCAAAATATCTCAGTTTTCATGTAGTTGAATAAAAAAAGAGACCCAACAAAAGATATATCTTATGAGATGAAATGCCGAATATTAACCATTTTATCATATATTTGTAAAGATTGAACATAACTGAACTGGTATTCCTTTTAGCGATTCAACTTCACAATATTGTGAGTTGCAAGCGATTCACTATAGAAAGTAATTCATTAATATAAATAATATGTTTTAGACTAGGGGAAGGGGGGGGGGGGCATTGTTCCCGGCTCCACTACCCGAATTGAACTTTGAAATAAAAAAAATCCGCATTTTGAAAAGTCTATGATTTTTAAAAATATCTTCTTGCTGTCAGGTTAATATGAATATGATTATTTTAAAACATTTTGATCATGTAAGTCCGTCAGCAGGTTCATGGCTTGAAAATATGAAATCATCAATATGATTATTTTAAAATATTTTGATTATGTAAGTCCGTCAGCAGGTTCACGGCTTTTCGGGTTAATGATTACCATTAACAGTATTTAATTTGTTCAACCCCCGAATTTCCAACAAACAAAATAATTACAACGGTTATTACACCCAAGAACAAGAAGAACAAGAACTACAGGATGAGTAGTGCTTGGGGCTCCAAACCCTGAGTTCACAAAGTATTCAACCCCCGTATTTCCAACAAACAAAATAATTACCACGGTTATTACCCCCAAGAACAAGAAGAACAAGAACTACAGGATGAATAGTGCTTGGGGCTCCAAACCCTGAGTTCACAAAGCATTCTTAGACTTTACTCAACTTTCAATCACAGTTTATGACAAATATCTTTGATCCAGAAACACTAAAACATTGCACATAGTTTCTTACTGATGCATTTGATACATTAAAACAATAAAAGTTTTACAAAAGGGGGCATTTTATCATTTTAGTTAAAATAAGGCGAACAATTTTGAGTAAATTCTTAACTTAAAGAGGCATTTAATTTAACAATGGAGAGAGAGAGAGAGAGAGAGAGAGAGAGAGGGAGGATAACGTCCACTCGACACAAACTAGGTTATTTCGGGCTAAAACATGGTTCAATTTTATTTCAATAATTCGCTTGTGCGTAGGGGTCTTTAGCTATGGGGGGGAAACCGGTGTGGTTTTGATTCCCCCTGTTGTACGTGACAAGGAGTAGGGTCGCCTGTCCAACCTCGTGGGTTGAACCATGTGTTAGTCCCGAAATGACCTAGTTTGTGTCGAGTGGACGTTAAACCCCATCCATCCATCCATCTCTCTCTCTCTCTCTCTCTCCTTTAAAAATCTTCTAAAAATATATATCTAGTAGTTCTTACCTCGCCCAATCTAAAATAAGTATTAGAAACCGTTTGACCACAGGTATATTCAGGTGGATCCACTCGGATAGTGTAATTGTCATTTTTAGAAATATCTAAAAACAATGGCTCGGTATGGCAGGCAGAAAACGTGCCGTTTTGTTCACATTCTGCGTAAGGTGCCACACATGTACGGAACATCGTTAATAACACAATAACGATGATTACTCGAATATTTAGACATCCAAACATTTTGATTTTTACTTGAGATTTGTTTATTTTTGAATTTGAATTGATATCCATTTTTCACTGTATTTTAGACGCGGCTTGTTTTTGGCCACAGAAACAGATTTGAAATATCACTTAGACACCGCCCTTTGCGGTTTTGATCACAGAATGAGATTTGAAATAGCAAAGCACACTTGTTGTTTATCGGAATTATTGTTAAATATTATAGAACCGATCTCTTAATTCATTCTATCATCAGTCACAGGTGATTCGTCACGACAGAACCTCCTAGTTTTTACGACACCATTTTGAAATATGAAGTCTGTTCCTCCCCTCTCTTGTTTATTGAGTCAGAAACGACATCCGCATTTTCTGTTATTAATGACGCAAACGTCCACGTGGTTAAAAATAAATCTGACTTTTTCAATTCGCAATTTACAGGTATGATTAATCCTAGAGACTTGACTGATGTTTACGTTTGATCACCTGTTGCACATACATGTATATATCCACAGAACAGCGGGACAATTGATCTCTTACAACTTACTATTTACCATATATTTTTAAAGTTATCCCCGAATGACTCTCTGTAAAAACGTCTCGAGATGGAATTCACCGCTTCCGTTTGGGTTCGCACTGCTTGTCACAATCTGGTGAACTCCCCTATTAATTATCGTAAGCGTGCGATAAAGCAAATTAATACAATGCATTAGCATATAGATATATACGTATAGGCCGTAACATAGAAAGCATATTTGTTGAAATATATACATTATATGACTAAACCTTATTGATCGTCACCATAGTCACGTACGTCACAGCTTACTAACTAAAAACTTTAAACAGCTGTTGACACCCACCCGTCAATCAAGGCGGCTAATTTGCATACTAGTGAATTCATTGAAATAAATGGGCGGGGACAAGTATATGAACGGTGTTAATATGTGTGTTACTTCTATCGCCATATCTTGTCAACGATATCAAATGAAATGAAATGAAATGAAATGAAATGAAATGGGGTTAAACGTCCTACTGTTCTGCTCCTATACTGGGCTAATGAAGACGGGCATACGCCATACAGTGTGCTATGAGGGAAATTTTGCCCGGGCAGCGGCACTATCGCCTACTCTTATATCGAATTCCAACTGCCAAGGGATCTTTTCCGTGCATTCCAATGTATACACGGGACCACGGTTTTCTGTTTCATCCGAAGGACTAGACAGCTGTCCTTGTCAGGCCCTCCGTCCTGCATCACTGACAAGGGGAAACCACGCCGAAAAATCGGGATGAACTTTTTCGGCCAATGCAGGGATCGAACACCCGACCTCCAGGCTAGCGAGCCAGCGTCTTACCCACTTAGTCACGTGATCCTCTCTACGATATCACCCTTGGTAGAAGCGGACGTAAAACTCTAGAACGAACGAACGAACGAATCGCCATATTGTTTAATGTCAAGTCCTTCGAATTCATACCGGGACATCATGCGCGGAGTGGGGTATCCCAGAACGAATAATATCCATACATCCTCGAGTGATAAGATCAGAATTTTAGCATGAAAGTATTTGTCAAAAGTCAAAACTCTAAAGGTGCGCAACAAAGAAAGAAATCTATCTTGTAACACAGATCAGTAGGCTGTACACAACAATTACATTACTTCATCATGAAGATTTCTGTCATAAAATCTGACATTTTACAATCATTGTCTGTCAATACAGCGTTGTTTTTTTTTTTTTTTTTTTTTTTCATTTTGGGAAGACGCGCAAAAACTAAAGGGAACGCAAAAACTCTAAACATATGACGCAAAGTGCGTCACTGCGTCCTCGTGACTTAACCATTGTAATATTATATCTTTATCAATAAAGGGTCTTAGTTTTCAAAATGTTATAGATATAAAAATTAACTGAAAGATAAAATATCGTTTTTCTTCTTTGGAAAAATAAAATGGGGTTTCACGTCTGCTCCGACTGGGTTATTGAACCATTTTAGTATTTGCTTCAAATAAGTTAAATATATTTAGGAACACGGGGGCAATATGCATTTATACCTCACAGTTGTATTTTACTAGTTAATCGAGATTTTCCGGCATGGCTGCCCCTTGTCAGTGGTGTAGAGCGGCGTGTCTGGCAAGGGACAGCGTATAGTCGTTCGGATGGGACGAAATACCGAGGGCCCGTGTACATATTGACGTGCACGTAATAGTATCATTGACAGTTGAAATTCGATATAAGAGTAAGCAGTAGTGCCGTTGTCAGGGTAACAATTTCGCGTCTTCATTAGCCCAGTCGGAGCAGAACAGTAGGACGTTAAACCCCATTTCATTTTATTTCTCTATAATGTGATTTATTTTTTTAAAACGGGAAACATAACAAATCGTGTGTGTACAGGCATTATGCTTGTGTGAATATTTTATAGATTGATGTTAATCATTAAACAAAAACGGCATCCCACTTTATTAATACAGTACTTATAGATAAAAAGGGCAAAATCTATTTGTTAAGGCCAGCTCAATTTTCGTCAAGGTCGCTGAGGTGTTAATAAAGTTAGGGTACATGATTGTTGGCTAGATTGTAGGTTGACCTTTGACCAAACTTGGCGCGGCAATCTGATTAAAATACAAATCTATATTTCGTTTCGTTTTTTTATACTTTCGATTGTCCCCACTAGTGTAGTAAAGACAAGTAAAACGAAATTTTGAACTATAAAAAATGAAACGAAATAGGATCTGTGTTTTTATCAGATTGTGGGCGTGTTGAGTGTTGATTTGCCCCCCACCCCACCACCACCACCCCCGTCCTGCACCTTAGACAAAGGAACACCACGCTGGAAATTCCCGAAGATCGAACCTGGGTCCCCCTGAGCCACCCTGGTTCCCAACAAAAGAAATGAGAAAATAAAATGGAATGAGGTATGATGCCCTACTGTTCTGCTCCGGCTGAGTTAGTGAAAACGGATATACGCCATACAGTGTGTGCTATGCTCGAAGAGATGCGTCACGGCCTACTCTTATATGGAATTCCAACTGCCAAGGGATCATTTACGTGCACGCCAATATGTACATGGGACCTCGGGTTTTCCTCCGATCCGAATGACTATACATTGTCCCTTAGCAAGCCCTCGGTCCCGCGCTCCTGACAAGTACACCAGAAAACCCCGATGAACCAAACAAAAGAAAAAAAATCGTTTACGTCAAACAGGGTGTGGTCATGAACACGTGTTACTTTACAGAGAAAGTCATTGGGGTCAATTGATTTGGATTGTGCAAAACAAATTATAGCTTGTCGATAATGCAGCAGCTCTTTTGGTCTTATACAAAACCGTCTAGTTAAGGCAGACCATTTGGGTTAATTAAATCAGTTCATACAAACCATTAGTATATAGTCAATAAAATGAAACAATTTCAAACATATTAATGTCTAACAAAATTATTGATCGATCCGGGGAAAATTCTGATAACATTGTAAGTTTAAATGTTTGGCGCACTATAGAACTACAGTACTCGCGCACGAGGGTCAATATCCACGGTAATATTCTTAAATTCAAGATAAGAACATAAACGTTCAAAACTGTTGTCAGTTTCCTCCCATTGCTAAAGACCCTTACGCGCAAGCGAATTATGGAAATAAAATTAGTCCCGAAATGACCTAGTTTGTGTCGAGTGGACATTAAACCCCATCTCTCTCTCTCTCTCTCTCTCTCTCTCTCTCCCTCTCTCTCTCTCTCCACCGTGTCCACCGACCGATCAAGACAAAATATACTGTTTTATCCACCCCTCCCCTCCGGTTAGTGCTAAATCATAAGGCCAGCTCAATTTTTTGTCATAGGTCACGAGATATAAACGGGACTAGCGCTAATCCCAACCCTAACCCTAACCCCGGACCTAGCCCCAATGCCTACCTTAGCCCTAACCTACAATCTCACCAACAACCACGTGCCCTAGCCTTATTTACATCTCAAAGACCTTAACAAATAGATTTAGCCCCTCCCCGTATCAAAAAATGGGCTGTATAAAGGTCAAATTTAAGAGCTAAGTCGGCAATTTATGAAGACGGAAGGAAGTTTGTGTAATATACTTAACTAATAACCTATCGTAGTATACTTAGTATATATAGACCTACATATATTGTTTTCCTACAATGTACCTTCAGTTTAAAGGGAAGCCACAGTGCCTCAGTGAGTTAGCCACTGAGTCACAAACCAGGCTGGGAATCCCAGTTCGAGCCCGGTTGTAAGCCGATAAAGTTCCTTTGGATTTTACACCTTGTCAGGACAGATGGTCTTGCACGGGACGTTATCTATAAGTCGTTTGGATAGGTCGAAAAACCTTGAGAATTGGAATTCGATGAAACGCCGATGTTTGGAAAAAAATTCTACATGGCGTATATACCCTTGTTGAAAAAAGCATAACACGGGACTTTAAATCTAATTAAGAAGCAAAAATGGCATCCACTCAAGCTCCTTGGTTTAACCCCATTTGATTTTATTACTGGTGTTTTATACTCAGACGTCATATAGCAACATTATAGAAATAAATCTGATCATTTTACTTATGAGGCAAATTTTGGCCCTGTTTGGACCTTTTCATCTGCCCCTACCTACTAAATGCCCAACTCAAATTTCGTCAATCTGATTAAAACACAGATCCTATTTCGTTTCGTTTTTTATAGTTCAAAATTTCGTTTTACTTGTCTTTACTACACTAGGATCTGGTAGAGTTGTTTTATTACTGGCGTTTTGGTTGAAGTGAGGGGTAAGCCAATGAAACGGTCTGTTACGGCGACTTCTTGGCGTGCCATGCACGGAACTGTGGTTAAACCACTACAAACGTCAACGCTGATTGATTAATCAATATCTGGCGTCATAGGGTCAAAAACCGCTTGAACGATTCCTGACACGACCTCCGAGTACATATTGTCAGATATTCATGTAGTGTAGGCCATCGAAAGTATAAAAAAACGAAACGAAATATAGGTCTGTATTTTGATCAGATTGAAACTTCGTAAGACTGGATGTTTTGAATTTGACTCAACAAGACCGGCCAATTAACATGGTCAAACCTTCTATTACTTATATAGTAAGTGCAGGGGGACTGCATCATACATAATTTACACACACACAAAAAAAAAACAACAACAAATATACGGACAAGACACATTACGCAGAAATCACAAACAAACGCACAATTCAAATAAAGTGAATGGATCCGGGGGCTAGCCGTAAGCATCCACTTTGCTGTAGTCACTCAAATTTGAAAACAATCAGGAATAAAACCCAGAGAAACCATTGTGTAATGCCAGCATGGGTCATGATCTGCTATATTATGTAGGCATGAGGCAGTTTTTTCGTCACTGACTCTTGGACTATTACTTTAAACCTAGATAGAACAGTAAGACGTTGACCTTATTTCATTTCTGGTGCTACTTATAAATTATTTATATATGTTATAAGACATGGATATCCGCCCCTCGCCCACCCACATACTTACACAATAGGATATCTTGAAGGCTATATTAATTAATTATGTCATTCATTCAAGAGCAACCGATTATAATGTTATAATACTTGTTAACATTCCTTGCATACCACTCTTTTTATTTGTATTTTATAATTTTCCCACCAATGATTGACATCAGCGCACCTGTGCGATCATTTGTCGTTGATTTAAAGTTTTTGGTGTCTTTTTAGTAGGTTG